GGCGCCAATAGATCCGCCGATCACACCTCCGGTGCGCAATATTATTGCGCTCGCTTGGCTCATGGTCCCTTTCTCTCCCTCCTTTTCCCTCGACTTCTCTCGACCTCCCATGGTTTTCGTCCATTTCCAATCGTACACAATTTGCGAGATGACTAACACCTGTCCGTTCTGCGTGTGTTCGCCGCGAGACCCTCTTTGGATAAACGTGCGTAAAAAACATAATAAAAGTGCGCGAGAGGAGCTCGCACGTGTGCACAACCTAACCTAAAAATCATGCACGTCGTCGCAGGGCGAGGACACGGGGAGGGGCGTAAAGGGCTAGGAGGAGGTGGCAGAAGGAGAAACGGGGAGCTCACGATTGGCGAATGAGCGAGACGACACCGGACGTCTATCGTTGATATTGACATTATTATCGTACACCGAAAAGCGGGACACGTATTGGCTCATGTGCAACCGTGAGTTCTCTGTAGAGAATGCGTTTTATCGACCGGAAGTCGGGCGGAGCATAAGGTGATGGTGTATCGGGAATTTTTGCGCGCGTGGAAGAGATAGAGAAAGAGTGAAAAAAAAGGCATATACATATTTTAGTCCTGGGACAGATCCTCTGAGAATATAATACGAATGCAATGATATTTTAGGTCTCTTCTTTGCTGCAGCTGAATACTCGTTTTACTTAAAATAAAATACAAAATACAATTTTACTTAAAATAAGATACTGTTTGAACTATTTGAAATTTGGCGAAAGGTAAGGTCTGTTTCTTTTTTCAGCTTCAGGCACAGTATTTTTTTCTTTTTCTCTCAAACGTGAAAAAAAAAAGGAAAGAACCGTCCAAAAAGTTAAGATATAAAAAAGAACAAAAGTCTCTAGAAAGAAAGTGTTTTAGTGTCGTGCCGTCCAGTACAGTGACAAAAACAGGTCTGTTATATTAACGCAGATTTAACATAACTGGCAGAGTTCCGGCTTTCCTTCAGTGAGCTCCAGCAGAGTGTCTAAAAACTAGAGTTTCCAAATGAGTTCTAACGATTAAATGCAAAATATCCATCAAAGGATTCATCTACGCATTTCGCTATATTGTCGCTATATTTGTTACAATCTTCTTTATTTTAATCGTCTAAATCTGGAAGAAATAGGACAGACATCAGTTTTTATCTCCTTCTCGTAATTTTTTATTTTCAATCGGAGACACGGTAGTGTCTCGGTATTATCTACGTTATATTAACAGGCAGTCGGAATTAAGAGTCCAAGAAAGTCCGATTACGTTCGACTACTTCCATCGCGGCTCGAAAATTCTTCGTATCTCGATATTTTCGTCCAGAAAACGAGAAAAACCTATAACTTGTATTATGTAAGAGCTCCTTTTACCTTCTTGTTCCTTCTCGAGATCACGAACATTGGTATTACTTTCGCAAAACCAGTGGAGAGTGGAGAGAGTGGAGAGAGTGGAGAGTGTGGAGAGGAGTGGGGAGGGAGGGGAGGGGAGGGGAGG